AATACTCATGATGGCTTTAGGTCATCACAAAATTTTCCATATCAATCGACAAATGAATGAAACAAAAATCAAGAACGCAAATGTACCTATAATTTAATCTGTTTTTATTGTTAAAATTAGTATAAAACAAATTGTAGCGCCCCAAAAATATGTTGAAACGGATGCAAGTAACGAACTATAAAGAATCCGTAAAGATTGGATGTACGCCTATAGAAATACTTATTGACTTTTCATCGAACGCCAAAGATTGCGGTTCATTTACTGTATAATTCTAACCAATACATCAAGTGAGGAGAAACGTACCTACGTTATCATATCAAATCCTCTAGGTCTAGAGAGAACTTTCTATCAAAATTACCCACGTTAATGTCAATGGCTTTCTCTTTCCATAACTTATTTAAGAAATTGATACAGATTGACTCTGATTGTATACTACCTTATTAATTATTTAATTTTACTTCGTAACATAAATTTAATTTTCTTCTAAGAACAATTTTATTTTCGCTTGTACGCTTAATTATTTAATTTCACTTGGTAACATAAATTTAAGTTTCTACAAAGAAAAATTTCATTTTCCCTTGTACCATAATTTATTAGATTCTCTGCGATTATATTGTGGAACACCATGTAGGTGTGCGATTAATTGTAGGTACCTGAAAGAATCCTCTTTCATGTAATTAGATCAGGAACACTTTCAAGCAATGAGGCAATTATAATTGTTTTACACAACCTTCATAAACTTTAGTACCATACACCTACAGAGAAATTTCTGCAAACTACGTTACAGCCATTTAGTGGAGAAGTTGTTTGTTTTGATGCTTTGTAGGAAGCCGTAGTGCTTTCTTGTGTAAAGGCGAAATCCTCTTTCCGTAATACCGTTGAAGATTATTTTTAAGGTGTATAAGACTTTTTGTAAATGTCCCGTTGTATAAACGTTTAATTTAGCCATATGGTTTCGATATTCCTTTTATTAAAGTTTCCTTTGTTCTTTGTACAGATTTCAAATTGTCTTACTCATTTGCAATCTTTTATAAAAAGCCGCTGTGTACACCCGAATACAAACAAAAAGTTACTGCCGGAACGGTAAAGGAGGCCGGAGAAATAATTTAAACACGTCTTACAAAGGAGATCTCATTAACAATTTGTTGGAGCTCTGAATTAAATAAGTGTTAAAAGGTATTGAAAGCTAAATAATAAACTATAAAGGGGGGAATGAAATTTTACGGGCGTGTTATGAAAATTCAGATTAATGGGAACATGCAAATCGTTCATAAAACAAAAACTATGTGCTCACAAAGCTTTTATATACTGTATGTAAATCGAGGTTATTCTTTATATCAATGTGGAAATGGTAAATGGACATAACTACGTACACGTTTTTCCCATTTTCGATACTGGTACCGAAGTATGTCATTTGTAATACGACTTAGCACTCGGATAGAGTACGCTTATATCTAATATCAATAACACCCTACCGTGATTTTCAAGCGTGGCAAATAATCCAGTGAATAGAGGGAGGTTACCTTACAAACGGCAGTTCTAAATGTTTGATATGTTGTCCAAGATGGTTAGTAAGGGGTTAAAATGCAAAATGCACCATTGCTCCCCCTCCGCGCCCGTGTTTTCCTGCTTTGCAGTTCCTGCCCACCATTCACTCTTACATGTTTTAAAATTCATAAGCATTCATAAGAAGTTATAATTAACACGTTTTATTTAACCCCCTTGTGAATACGATACTGTTGCAAAAAAATAAGAATATTGTGTAAACAACGTTATGTAAACGTTACTTCGGTCTAAACACCAAAAATAATGGGACACCCTGTATATGAGAATTTATTAAGTAAATCTGTGGGATTATTTACGACGTAAGCACAGATTTGGTTCGTTTTATTTGAATTTGTTATCTCGGTGTCTATTTTTCCTTTTAGAATTGTATGTAATTGCGTATTATTTTCTTGTTTCAATTTTGTGGCTTTTGCAATTTATTCAATTGAGATAAGGTGCTTGAAGTAAGACACATGGAGAAGTGGGGAGGCGTTTGATGCGTTCCGTAGTCGATTGACGACGTTTAAAAGAAGGACTTTATTTTATGGTGGATGTGGTGTTTCCTTAAATGCTGGAGACAACGAGAAAACGAAGCTGCTGCTGCTTTCCGTGACTGTTCAAAAGCGTGCACATCTGTTTACGCTAAATTATTTTTATTTTAAATTATTAAAAACATAAAATTAACAAAACCCGGAGAAAGCTTAATTTTACTTACAGTATTTTATTAATTAATAATAACCACCCCCATATCATCCTAGACCTAAACATCAACGTCTCAAACCGACATTGTTTACACAGCAATATATAAAATTCTGTGCAGAAGCAAGTTAACCAAAGTTGTGTGAGAAGTTTAACGCGTGTTATGCGATTACGGAAAAAGGCTTGTCGAGTTGAAAAACGAACCAGTGTAGTACAGCGAGACTTTTTGTAAAGGTTCTCTTCTTATTAAAAGTTAAAAGTCTCTACCATCCGATCAGCCACCGAAAATGTGTCATCATTTTCATCAAACCAGTTTTGTTAGTCATCTAATTCTGTGTGGCCATATTATTTGGATTATTAAAGCAAAAGTGTAACTGGAAGTAAGTTTAATGTTCCTTATTTTATTTTTCGACAGCTTGCGTGCGGGGTAAACTGTCCAAATGCGCTTTGCAAGCCGTTCTTTCTTTTAGGGACTTTGTTTAAATTTTGTTTCATTGTTTTTTTGGAATAAATTTTTGTTATTGTCCCTGAATTAATTGTGTTTATTCGAATCCAAAGTGCGACCCAGAAAGTTTTCTTGTAACATTTTTTTTCTATTCGTCCCAAGATTTATTTCAGGTGTTCCTTGAAATTTTTGGAATTTCTCAAAATTGAGAAATTTTAATCAATATTAAAATTTCTCTCATACAAATATCGGATGTGTACGAGGAGAGATTATGAAATTCTACGTTTCAATTTTGATTTTTTTGAACTATCTGGAAAGGTGTTTTGTGGGTGTTTTTTGCATTTAGAGAAGGTGATTTGGTTGTAATAAAGAATTTAAGAATCGAGGATGGTCCTAAGCAACTAAGAGCTGGCTCCCCGGCCCCGTGGGGAATCGAACCCCGGTCTCCCGCGTGAAAGGCGGAGATACTAACCACTGTACTGTCAAGGATTATTTATTTGGTACCCGAAACGTGAGGTAAATGAGGGAAATGCAAAATTTAGGTCAAATTTGCTAATTTAATTTCAAATTACGGAAGCTTTTGTGTTACAGTTAATTTAGCTTTCGTAGCCAGACAGGATTTCTTACATGATTAATAAAATTACAGGGATTCAAAATTTGATTGTTTTTTAATTCTTTTTTTAGAGAAACTAATTCGTGCCGGCGCGGCGCGGCGGTTGGGTTTTGAATTGAGACACAGGCTAAGATTCCTTTCACTTTTACATAATTATTTAGGCAATTTATCAAAAAAATGTGACATATTTTTTTAATTTCAAAGGCTGATCTCCTAAACAAGTTACAGCTGGGAATAGTCGAAGCTACATAATGTCCACTGATGCCAAAAAGAAGGAGTTCAGGTGCCACCAACAGGTCGTCATTTCGAACATTTATTGCTAGATTTGCTAACTCCTTTGTTCGTGTATCATGTTCACTTTAGTAGTAAATCTAGCCTACATTTTCAATAAACATCAATGTTAACCATATTTTTTTGAAATCGCATGCTTGGTTTCGGGAAAGAATTTTTTTACAAATTAGCGTTTCGACTTTTTTTTCACTGAATCTTATGTAATTTACGGATTTTTTTGTATCCGTGGAAATGTTGTAGTTTCGGCTATCCAGAGCTATAATTTGTTTAGGGGGGCACCTTTTGAAACTTGGCAATTGGGGAAGATCAATTAAAAATTTTATTTTTCCGATTAGACACCTAAAAAAATTATGTGACAGTGGAAGAGGTCTTAGCCCGTGCTTCAATTAAAAACCACCGCCGCGCCGGCGCAGTTTAGTTTCTCTCAAAAAAATAATTCGAAAAACGTTCGAAATCGTTGAATAAAAAAATAAGTACCTACTCTTCAAGTACTTTCCTATTCTTCAATAAAATATGGTGGGTTCCGTTCCAAAAAACGCCACTGGAATAAATTGGCGACGTTATAGTGCACAAATTTGCTCCTACACTTTTTTTTGATATGTTTTATGTCGAACTCAATCTTTCTGAGCTTTGAGTCGGAAAACCATCTTAATAAGAAGCGGGCAGTTTCCGAAATTTTATTTTATTGTCCTATTTAAAAGGTATCTGTTAATCCGTTTGTGTGTTAACCATTACTTTTATTTGCCGTTTACCATAAATTGCCACGGACGGACAATAGAAGAAACAAATGAAATTCACACTAAAAACTTCTGGCGATGGTGCAAGGATCTGCTTCGGCTCGCTCGTCGGATAGGTCGAGGGTAAATCTAGAAGTTAATAAATAGGGCGCCAGAAGCTTAACTAATCTCCGCCAGCAAATCTGAGTTGATCCTGCCCTCGCTTCACAAGCAGGATGTAGAGTCGTGATCAGCCAGTAAGCTAAGAAAGGGGACAATATAACACGCAAGAAAACAAAAGATAAGGAGGAGGAAAGCAGAAGCATATATTTGAAAATCAATAACCGCACGTAATGGTAAGAATTAAATAAATTCAACAATATCAAATGAAAAAAACTGACAAAATATTTGAGGGAAATAAAAAAAAAGGTAACCAACCGTTCACAAGTCCGTATGAAACGTAGTAATAATTTTTTAAATAAGTGAGTAGGTGTAGAGTGGTAATTGAATAGTTCAGTTGACTTGAAGCAAGAGGGTAATTTGGGGAAAGGCCTTTCTGTATCAATAAACCCCCGTTCATATGTACCTTACCTTGGGTATTCTACAATTCAAGCAACTTACCTTGTGTCCGGTTTCACAAAAACAAAATACAATTAAAAAAAAATGCAAGTTAATTAACATGTGAACTAATAAAAAAAGATAAAAAAACTACTTTCGTGAGCTGTGCTCAACCACCGATTTATCAGTGGCTCTACTACACTTCTAACTTTCTGTCAAATTCGGTACGTAACCGCAAAAAAAAATTATAATTAAATCATAATAAAGTTTTAGTGCACAAAATTTAAATAACACAACAACAACAAGTAACTTAGGATTTACAGAGAGGGAATTAGGAAGTTCTCGATACACGGGGAAGGAGAAAAAAAAAATTGGAAGGAATTAAGGAAGCAAGGATAAGGAAAGTAAGTAGGTGTAGGGGGTCAAACCATCTTCACTAATGTAGGTCAACAAATAATAGTGTACAGCACACACAACGCTGACCTTTGGGCTCCTTTAATGTACCCCTAAGTGGCTCTGGTGGTGCGGGAACTGAAGTTGGTGTAGGCGTCCAAAGACAGGTCGATATCACGGCTGAACACGGCGACACAAACGAAGAACATAAATCGGGCAGCGACAACACGTAGAAAACAAGTTTGAAGTAAAATCGGAACAGATACGGCTCCCAAGTTTCACATATACGAAGAAGCTAAAAGATTATATTGCTATAGACACGGGACTAAAAGGTAAGCACGAACCTCTAAGTTGGTAGGCGAGCTGAAGATTAAGCGATTTTAGGTCCGCATAAAGCGATATGGAATACTACCCAATTGAGGCAACCAAAAAAAACCTCCGACTAAATACGGGTAGCTATTCTATTTGTCTGGCCCAAATTCTTGAATATTCCTTCGTATGAAGATTGGTAATAGCTCAGGAAATTGGTAAATCACTCTCAGATTACAAAATGTGCACTTGCCAAAAAATGTCCGCAGGAAACAGGAAAATCACCGAAAAGAATGTTATCAGAAGGAAATTAGCTTATCAAGAAAAGAATACAAGAAAGAAAGTTCGAAAACGGAAAAGCACTAACAGAAAATTAGAGAGCAACCCACAACACATAGAAGTCAAGGTGTATAGTATTACTAAGAGGAACGAATTAGATAAGAAAAGTGTATTAAATTAGATACGAAAATGAACCGTTACAACTCCCCCCTTCCAAGAAGAAAGCGAAGCGTACAAAAGAGAAGAAAAGATAAAGAAGAGATAGAGAAGAAAACACGAATCGCAAACAAACTGAAATCCAAAACCCACCCCAATATTGCTTAAAAAGCTAAACAACCCACCCCAAAGAGAAAGAAACTAGGAAAGATAGAGAGTGAAGGGCTAGATGTAATAGCGAAATTTACGCCTGAAAGGAAACAAAAGAAGTGGACGTAAATTTCCAAGGTCAACCTGCCCTAACGAGCCCAACCAACCACCCTAACTTAAAGTCATTAACCAGAAAAGCGATCATGACCATACTCAACTAACCATTCTCGAAAGTACACGGTTTCAGGTCTTGAACATGCCAAATACCTTTGTTTACACCGTCATCATTCTGCAACTCATATGTGCAGTAACCAGTTTTACGTTTGATGAGAAAAGGTCCAAGAAATTTTGGGGCAAGTTTAGCAGTAAATCCTGCTGAGGCGTCGGAGTGCGCTTTATTTTTTCGCCAAACCTTCTGCCCAATTTGATAATCTACATATCTACGTCGGAGATTATAGTGACTTTTGTTTTTCTCATGGGCAACTTTCAATCGGTCATATATGTTAAGGTACATTTGCTTGAATCCTTCCTGTCTATCATCTAGGGGAGGGTCAGTGTTCGGAACACGTTCAACGAAACATTTCCCATACAGAATATGTTCTCTGCCAAAATTAATAAAGTAAGGGGTGTATCCCGTAATTTCATGACGAGAGGTGTTGATGGCGTTAGTGATAGCTGAAAGATTCTGACACCATTTTTTATGGTTGGTTTTAATGTAACACGATAGCATAGTTTTAATTACTCGATTCGTTCTTTCAGCTGGATTAGCTCGAGGATAGTACAAGGCAGTATAGTGGATCTTGGTTTGGTATTTTGTAGCTAAAGCTTGAAATTGAGAAGATTTCATCTGGGATCCATTATCGCAGATAATAAATTGAGGTGTTCCATAGACATGAAATATTCCTTCCTCCATGCATTTAACAAGAGATGCAGCAGTTGCTGTACGTAGTGGAAAAGTAACCACATATTTGCTAAAGAAATCTACTACAACTAATATGTACAAATATCCTCTAGAAGATCTTGGGAGGGGCCCTATAAAATCTAGGCTTATCATTTGCCAAGGAAGATTAATGTCGGGACGGTTTCCCATTAAACCAGGAGGACTCTTCTGCTCTGGTTTTTGTTCTGCACAAGTGCGACAGTGCTGTACATATTTAATTACATCGGCCCTCATTTTAGGCCAATAGTACCGTTGTGCGACTTTCCAAACAGTTTTGTAGATTCCAGTGTGGCCAGATGTAGGTTCGTCGTGACAGCGGACGATAACATTCTTACGATCCGATTTCGGGACAACAATTTTCCAATGATCGGAGGGTGTGGCTAATTGTGGATGGGCGAGTTTCACGAACTTATAGAGAACATCCTTTTCAATCCTCCAATTAGGAAATTTATCAGGTGTGTTGATCACCTGATGTTTCATCTTGTTATACCACTGGTCCGTACTAGTAGGGGTCGTGATCAAGTCACAGTGTGGTGATACAGAACGGCTTAACAAATCCGGAACCACATGATCTTGGCCTTTCCGATGGATTAACTCAAAATTGTATGGTTGTAGCCTTAAAGACCATCGGGCTAAACGCCCTTGTGGATCCTTCAGTCGATGGAGCCATAGCAACGAATGGTGATCGGTAATAACCTGGAAATGTACTCCCTCTAAGTAATGTCTCAATTTTTCTATGGCCCAAATTACAGCAAGGCATTCTCGCTCTGTTGTGCTGTAGTTCCTTTCCTGGCGTGTAAGTGTTCTTGACAGATATTGTATCACACGTTCTTCACCGTCAAACGTCTGCGTGAGAACAGCGCCTAGACCGTAGGCCGAAGCATCTGTTTGTAAGCAAAATGGGCGATTGAAATCAGGACATGTAAGTAATGGAGCAGTAATTAAGTACTCCTTAATTTTTTGGAAAGACTTCTCACATTCCGGTGTCCAAAGAAATTTTACATTTTTCTTTGCCAGATTACTAATTGGAGCTATAATGGTGGAGAAATTCAGAATGAAGCGACGATACCATGCTGCAGTGCCTATAAAGCGTCTAACCTCTGTCACATTCTTTGGAGCAGGGATGTCCAAGATGGCCTTTACCTTTTCGGGATCAGTCCTCAAGCCATTACGATCAACAATATAACCGAGATATTTTAGTTGTGGCAAACAGAACTTGCATTTATCAAGGCTGACAGAAAGTCCTGCCATCAGTAAACGATTGAGGACGGTATCTAGTAAGCGAAGATGTTCGTTGAATTCTCGGGAAATGATTATTATATCATCGAGATATACCAGTACCGACGGTTGCA